CCGGTGTTCAGAGAAAGAGAACAAAAGGTACTTATTTCTGAATCTGCGCCTTTGGACTCTCATTTTCCTCTAGAGGGCGCTTCTGATGCGGATATCGGCGTAAACTCTCTTCTCACCTATGTGTTAAGTCTAAACGAGCATTTTGTGCTTAAAATAATAAAGAAAAAAGATAAAAGTATATTGCCCGAATTAGTTCTTCGGAAGTTATTGGATAGAGAGGAAACTCCAGAAGTTAATTTATTGCTGATGGTCATCGATGGCGGTAAACCAGAGCTAACAGGGTCTGTTCAGATTCAAATAATCATTCTGGATGTGAATGACAACGCTCCGGAGTTTGATAAGCCTGGCTATAAAGCAGCGTTGTTTGAAAATGTCCAAAACGACACGAGAGTGATTCAACTAAACGCTTCCGATCTAGACGAAGGACTGAATAGAGAAATTTCCTATGGAATCAGGATGATTTCACCAGTGAGTGAGAAATGTATGTTTTCGATAAATGCAGACACAGGTGAAATTAGAATTTATGGGAAACTGGATTTTGAAGAGAATAATGCCTATGAAATTCAGGTTATCGCCATTGATAAGGGAATTCCTTCCATGGCAGGTCACAGCATGGTGCTGGTGGAAGTTCTGGACCTGAATGACAATGTCCCTGAGGTAGTGATTACTTCGCTGTCCCTACCAGTGCAAGAGGATGCTCAGGTGGGAACCGTCATCGCCCTGATCAGCGTGTCTGACCGTGACTCTGGAGCCAACGGACAGGTCACCTGCTCACTAACACCCCACGTTCCCTTCAAGCTGGTGTCCACCTTCAAGAATTACTATTCACTGGTGCTGGACAGCGCCCTGGACCGCGAGAGCAAATCTGACTACCAGCTGGTGGTGACTGCCTGTGACAGAGGCTCGCCTTCTTTATCCACCACTGCTGGCGTGTCCGTGGAGGTGGCCGACGTGAACGACAACGCGCCGGCCTTCGCGCAGCCCGAGTACACGGTGTTCGTGAAGGAGAACAACCCGCCAGGCTGCCACATCTTCACGGTGTCGGCGCGGGACGCGGACGCGCGGGAGAACGCGCGGGTGTCCTACTCGCTGGTGGAGCGGCGGGTGGGCGAGCGCGCGCTGTCGAGCTACGTGTCGGTGCACGCGGAGAGCGGCAAGGTGTACGCGCTGCAGCCGCTGGACCACGAGGAGCTGGAGCTGCTGCAGTTCCAGGTGAGCGCGCGCGACGCGGGCGTGCCGCCTCTGGGCAGCAACGTGACGCTGCAGGTGTTCGTGCTGGATGAGAACGACAACGCGCCAGCGCTGCTGGCACCTCGGGCTGGGAGCACCGGCGGTGCGGTGACTGAGCTGGTGTGGCGGTCTGTGGGGGCGGGCCACGTGGTGGCGAAGGTGCGCGCGGTGGACGCGGACTCTGGCTACAACGCGTGGCTGTCGTATGAGCTGCAGCCAGCAGCGGGAAGCGCGCGCAGCCTGTTCCGCGTGGGTCTGTACAACGGCGAGATCAGCACGACGCGCGCCTTGGACGAGACGGACTTGCCGCGCCAGCGCCTGCTGGTGCTGGTGAAGGACCACGGTGAGCCCGCGCTGACCGCCACGGCCACCGTGCTGGTGTCGCTAGTGGAGAGCAATCAGTCTCCGAAAGCCTCTTCGCGGGCGTTGGCGAGCGCTGTGGGCCCTGAGGCGGCGCTGGTGGATGTCAACGTGTATCTCATCATCGCCATCTGCGCGGTGTCCAGCCTGTTGGTGCTCACGCTGCTGCTGTACACGGCGCTGCGGTGCTCTGTGTCGCCCACCGAGGGCGCGTGCGAGCCGGGCAAGCCCAGGCTGGTGTGCTCCAGCGCGGTGGGGAGCTGGTTATACTCGCAACAGAGGAGGCAGAGGGTGTGCTCTGGAGAGGGTGCGCCCAAGACCGACCTCATGGCCTTCAGCCCCAGCCTTCCGCCCTCTAGAGAAGATTGTTTAAATCCTTCTAGTGAAGTAAGTCATTGATATCAAAGTATATTTGTGTACTTAAAGCACTTGCGTTTTGGTTATAACTACATTCTCCTTTCTTATTTTTCTTCGTATTATCTTTTAAATCATCGAATGTCTCCTCTTCTCTGGTCTTTTTTAGTCATTTTGTACTTTCATGTATTTGCCCAACACTACTTTAATGAATGAAATTTGTAGATATAATGGAGGCCATGGATCACCACATTTAAAAATTTTCATTTTCTATCATTTTTCCTATTCTATGAATGATTAGCCTTGAAAAAGAATAGTATGTTAGATTACAAACTAGTCTGGTGTTTCATAACTCAAATTTATTTTTAAATTGGTAATAATTTCAAGATTACAGACAACTTGTGAGAGTAGTAGAAAGAGTTCCTAGATACATTTAACTGGATTCCTTAACTGTTTCTTATGTATTCAAACTGCCTTTTTGTTTTTTCCTATTTTCTCCTTTTGAGACAGGGTCTGGCTCTCTCTCTCTTGCCTGGGGCTAGAGTGCAGTGGCTGGTGCGACAGCTCACTGCAACCTCAAACTCCTGGGTTCAAGGGCTCCTTCTGTCTCACCCTTCTGAATAGTTGGGACTGCATGCACTCACCACCAGCTGGCTATTTTTTTAAATTTTATTTTTCGTAGAGACGAGGTCTAGCTATTTATTGCCCAGGCTGGTCTTGAACTCTAGACCTCACATGATCTTCCTGCCTGGACCTTCCAAAGCGCTAGGATTGCAGGCATGAGCCACAGCACCGGGCCAAAATAGCCTTTTTGATCACCATTCTGTCAGTATGATCAGGTATTATAACAATATTATATTCCAGAGATTATAACAATAATAAAAATTACACTCTTTGGTTTAAGATGGATAATTTTCTGTCATTGTTCACACAGTACTTTATTTATTTCAAGTTGGATTAGGTACTGTACTTTTTTTTTTTTTTTGAGACAGAGTCTTGCTCTGCCACCTGGGCTAGAGTATAGTGGCACTATCATAGCTCACTGCAACATCCAACTCCTGGGCTCAAATAATCCTCCTGCCTCAGCCTCCCGAGTAGCTGGGCCTATAGGCATGTGCCACCATGCCCAGATAATTTTTTCTATTTTTGTTTTTTTAGTAAGAGATGGGGTCTCCCTCTTGCTCACGCTGGTTTGGAATTCCTGACCTTAAGTGATTCTCCTGCCTCAGCCTCCCAGAGTGTTAGGATTACAGACATGAGCCACTGGGCCCTGGCCTGTACTGCTATTATTTGCATAAATTGTAATAAAATAATTTCTTAATTTAAAAATATTTAAATATCACCTAAATCAAGATATGTCTTACAATTTAAGGCTTATGATAATTTGTTTGGCTGTTTTTCTTTCTTAGTGATACATAAATAATGGCATATCTTACAATTAATGGCATTTTTGGATTCAAAAATTATAAAAATACTTAGTGATCCCTATTATTTTTCAGGCCCTGTCCTAAGATCCTTAATTTCATTATCTCATTTGATTATCAAATGAGTCTTCTGGTACAGGTATGATAATTATCATCCCCATTTTATAGATGAGAAATCTAAAACTTAAGCCACATAGATAAAGAGAAGTGGCTCAAACCCATTTTTTCAGGATCTCAAGCCCATTATTGTATATCACCATGCTGTGCCTATTACCAGGTGAATCTTTTAAAGTACATTTTATGTCCTGTAACTTTCTTCTAAAAAATATCCAGAGGCAGAAGCAAATAAAGCCTTACATCCCTCAGCCTGATAGTGAAGTCACTGAACTTTCCACCTTATGTCCACTCTCTCACATATCATTAGTTTAAGACCTGGAATATAGTATATGTTCAATCAATAATTTAAAAATAGATATATGATATTCAAATGTATCCCCTGAGCAATCCCCTACATCTTAGAAGTGGGAGTGGTAAGCTCCAGAAATTAGGCGATGTTTTATTAAAGAGTGCCTTGAAGGATAGATAGCACTTTGACAGGGGAAGGTATTACAGATGGAGAGATAAGTATAAATTTATGATCAGAGTTTACTCTGGTAAATGCGTACTTGAAGGATTAGAGCAGGGGAGATTCTGAAGATAGGAAAATTTGTAAAGAATCTTTTATAACAATTTAGGTATTAGGTAATGGAGACTGAAATTGTGACAGTAGAAATGAATTGGGAAAAAAAAGCATATACAAAAGGGACTGGCAAAATAGAAGCAGCCAGATAATTATGGACTCAATACAAATGACAGAGAAACAAAAGTAGATGACTCTTACGTTTTTAGTTTGGTCAACTGGGAGGATAAAGTTGCCATTAACCAAGTTGCAGAACAAAGTTGGAGTGACAGTTTGTGTGTGTCTGTGCAGGTAGGAAATAGAGAGGAACATGTAAGAGAATGCTACTCTCGAAGTCCTAGGAGAATACCATTATAATTGGAAATATGGATCTAGAACTCAGGGGAGATTATTGATGTAGATTTAAGAGTAACTTCCTTAGGGAAAAATAAATCCATGGAAGGCGAAATCACCATGAGAGACATTGAAAAATGAAAAGCAATGAATTTAGGTGGGTAGGTGTGTCAGTTCCTGTGGCTACTATAACAAATGACTGCAAACTAGCTGGTATAAGATAAAAAAAAAAATTTAATCTTTCACAATTTTAGAGACCAGAAGTCCAAAATCAAGATGTTGGCAGGACTGTACTCCCTCTGCAGGCTCTAGGGGAGAATTTCTTTTTTTGTCTTTCCACCTTCTCATGGTTGTCAACGTTCCTTGGCTTGTGGCTACACCACTCCAATCTCTGCATCTGTGGTCACATTGCCTCCTCCTTCTCTGTGTCTTTTCCTCTGTGGGTTTGTTTTATAAGGGTATGTGTGATTGCACTTAGGATCCATCTATCTGGATAGTCCAGGGTAAACACCTCTTCTGAAGATCCTTAACTTAATCGCATCATTTGCCATATAAAGTAATATTTACATGTTCCAGGGATTAAGATGTAGGCATGCCCTTTTGGGGACCACCATTCAACCTAATATGGTAGGCTTGACGTCATAGGGAGCATAGACAACAGGCAGCTGAAATAAAACTCAAAGTGCAATATATTAAGTAAATGTTAGAAGTCAAAGGCGAAGGGAAGAAGATGAACAGAATAGGTTTTTTCCCCCTCAGAAGTAGCATGTTTAAATTTGCGTGTGTATATATATATATATATGTTTATTTAAAGATGTTTAAGTATCTTTGTAGTGTGAAGGAAAGATGAAAGTAAAGAAGATACGAAAGATAAGATAAGCAGCAAGAGAATGAAAATGAAGGTGAAAAATATGAAGGAGAATAGAAAAGAATGAATTTTTTAAGAGCACAGAGTTGACCTTAAAAGTGGGGGTAGTTTTTACCTAGAACTAGTAGGGAATGAAAAGTAGATAATATAGAGAAAAATGATGGTAGAATAAGAGAGCTATTGAGTTCATGTTTGATGACATCTTTCAGTGGGGAAATCATGTGAAAGTCAGTGGGAATGAGGTTAAGAATTTGATAAGAGAGGGGAAAGAATCTGAAAGAATCTCTGTAGCCAAGAGAGAAGACGTAATTATGAATTCATTTGACAGTCCAATTGAGGTAAAGGTAAAAGTAAACTTGAAGAGAATAGAGTCATCATGATTAAGTGACTACTTCATACTGAGCAGCTCAATAGGAAGAATAGAGAAAATGAATAGTTAGGTTAACTGTGCGTTAGAGGTTAAAGAGAAGGTTAGAGGAATAATATAAGTATGTGAGTGATTCTAGGGTGTCTGGAAAGGCATATTTTCAATGGTTGACTATGTAGTCTAGTTTAGGTAGAGAAGCAAATTAAGTCCGATAGACAAGAAGAGTTAGAAAGAGTCAAGGAACTATTCCCATTATAAGAGCAAAGCTGTGTTAGAAGTACTGGAGCAGGAGAGGAGGATGAAGGCAAGAGAATACCAAATACTCTATCCAAATTTTCAGAGGGAAGTAGAGGTACAGAAATTAACTCTATTGTCATTTCTTGTAGAGTTGTGCACAGAACAGGCAAGATAGTTACTGGAGCTATGATATAGTTGTAATTGTGCTATTTGGTCTGGAACTTTGTAGCTCGGTAGAGATAGTTATAACAATAGGTAAAAGTAAGATTTCTTCCCTTTCTTCCTTGCTAAAGATGTGTTAACACCCTTGTCTGGCTATTGTTACTTGGAAAATCATAGTCAATTTAAATAATATTAATGTTTCCCCAGTAGTGATGAAGTAAGATGGGGAGGGAAAAAGGAAGATTTAAACTATTTGTAGTAATTGAAATCTATTAAGTACATAGGATGCTAGTTCTTGGCATGTTTTATAAAAAAAGAATACAAAACTTTAAAGCGTTGTATCTAAATGGTCTAGATCATTGTGTATTTATGCACATACAAACACATACAAACTCATACATTGAACACTTTCTTTCAAATTCAAATACTTTATCCACATTTTACAGCCACATTGAGAAAAATTTATAAATATGGTGTACAAAATCTGGTATGTCACTTACCAATATTTTCCACCTTTGTCCATTTTATTCTTATGTGATTATGTTTCCATTTGGGGTCAATGGCGCTGGGTGAGGAAGTCTTGAAAAGTATTACAGGAAGAGGACGTTCCCACTAAAACCTACATGACTATGCAAAATAGAGATCAGTTGTTCCAAAACAAATGTTGAATATTCTCCTTTAAAAATTCTGCAGGTAAGTTTTACACGTGTAAAAATAAATTTGTGGCAAGATGAAACTCATCAACCAATTGTCAACTAATGCCGAAGGGAATACAGTGACTTACTTTTTCTGGAAACGTAAACGTTTAATTTTCGATTACGTATTTACAGTGAAAAAGTCAAGAAATACAAGGGAAAAAAACCCTTACGTCAGTGGAAAATATGAAGACATTTATTCTTACACTTACACATTCGTGCGCATGGTGTCGCTCTTCACTGAGAACGTTTCTGCGAAGAAAGCCGCCGCTGTTTCTAG